TGAGCTCAACTTTTCTCGACAGGCCATTTAAAATGGAGCTTACGGAAAATTTCAAAATAAAAGCCTGCATATTCCTCTCACGTCAGTGCACCGCCTATGGCGGTGCAATGATATTAGCCTTTTTTATGTTTTTTTTTTTTCCCCTCAGGATATGGGACTGCGCAAGGCAGTGCAAGACATAGCAATGCACTGCCTTGCTGCGCAGTGCCTTGTACAGCATTAGCATTAGCCTTTTCCCTAAAGTTATATATTAGCTAATTTTCTTATTAATTAGACATGTTTAGTACACTGAATGGAGCAAGTCAAAGGATGAAGGAAACACTTCCCTCGCCCTCTGGTTAAAGAGCTCATCCAGGCAGTTCAAACTCCAGTGTTCTAACAATGATAACCATATGTAAATAACCTGTTTCTAACAAAAGAAGCCTCCTGGAGCAGTAATAAAGCACTGATACTTGTCAGTTTGATTCATGAACCTGTTTCACAGTTGAGTGAAGCACCTGTTTCACACTGCCTCACACAGCTCTTCAAATAGCAACCTGTCTGCAGTCCTTAAATAGTGAAATGTCTGTGCTGAAAACGATGTAATGGGCTACACGGGGTAGTTCAAAGTGTGGGGTGTGAGGCTGTGGGTTTCCCTGTTGCTAGTGAACCATTTCTTACCACACTTCGTCTTTCTACTCAATTTTCTGTTAATACACTTGGATACAGAACTCTGTGAACAACCAGCTTCTTCAGCAATGACCTTTGGAGGCTTACCTTCAAGTCAGCAGTATCCCCCCCCCATGATTGTGGAGCTTACCTACCCAGACTTAGACCATTTAAAGGCTTGGAAAACCTTTGCAGGTGTTTTAAAACACTGGGAAAGGTTTCCCGAGCATTTAAATGGTCTCATTAATGTGTGACACCATTAATGACCTTTTTACATTGTTCTATTTTTCTTAGACACTGAAGTCTGGGTTTTCATTATCTGTAAGCCTTATCACCAAAGTTACAAGAAACAAGGTCTTGGACTTCTATCCCTGCATGTGTGATGATTCTAGATAAGCATCACTTTCTGAAGTGGCTGGCAGGAAATATTGCATTTTACATAATATTAAAATGTTTGGAGAAACACTACTGTATTGAAGAGCTCCAAGGTAAATGAGAATTAGAATATTTCTTTTGTTGTGGTACATTTTATTTATTTATTTATTTATTTATTTATTTATTTTTCTGTATGTTTTATTCTCGGATAGATTTTAAATTTACAGTATTTTCTGTAATATTTACAGTGTTTAAATTTTCAGCCAAAGGTTTGAGAAATAATGAAATCAATAAAATATCTGCTTCTAGATCAACTTTTTGCAAAGAGAAAAATCTGACTATTATGAAGTAGCAAATACCAAACAAGAAACAAAGAGCACATGTTTGCTTTGTTCTTTGCACAATAAACAGGTTCCTATTTCAGGTTTGTGAACATTATAGATTTTCACGTATGTCGAGGCCACTGCTTTTACTCTCCCTTGTACAAGAATGTTCATGAAAACAGATCATAAATTTACTTTCAAGCCAGACAAAGTAGAGAATTACAAATCATTTCTCTAAAAGGCAGCTAAGTCAAAATAATAAACTGAGTGGTTTGTTTTAAGAGCAGAAGGTGTAGGTTTTTCAGACTGGGCCAGACATAGTTCCCTCCCTGCAGCTTTCCAACTACCACTGTTATGAAGGAACGCCTCCGAAATGTTTTCAGAAGAGCTAGAACTAGCCATATATTAAAATTCAGTTGATTTGATGTGTTGTGTTTTTGTTATGGTTTTGTCCATAATTTTGAAATATCACGCCTCCTTTATTTCTGAAGTTTACTTGATCCAACTTTAACGTGTTTGATGAGTTCATGCAGATCTAAAGATATGCCTTTAGGTGGGTGGGAGGAGGGAGCTGGGATGCCACACCCAAACCGTTTCCATCTGAGCGAACTGAGATCCTTAGATCCTTAGAATCAGACTAAGGAAGAGAAAAGCGGAACAGCGGGACTCATGCGCTTGAAAAAGATTAATTAGAAACGTGTTCCACCTTTTCAAGGTAAAAATAATGTTTTGAAGGTGGTTTCCAACCATTGTACGGACTCGTTTGAAAACACTTGCTTGCCAGGTGAGTCAATAATTTGTCTCTTCTAAATGATCTGTTTGGTTAATTTAAAATAATAATTTTAAAAAAAGAGCAAAAAAAACCCATAATGTTCTTGTCAACTTTGTTCTACGAAACAATTGCGTTTCAGGACAATCAGGCTCGAAGAAGAGGCATTTTTATTATTATTATTATTTATTGTGCTCGAGTAGATCTTTCTTGTGTACCCTGTTAAAAACCGTATAGTTTTTTTTTCTTTTCAAGAGAGAGAATGGTCCGAACACCTCTGTGGATTTTCTGTGATTTTAAGTCTCTGAGTATTATTTTTCACTTCATTTGGCCTACATAGGTCTGAAAATTAGCCAGAAAATTAGCCAACGTTTTTAAGAAGTAATAAGAAATAGTTTAATTTGAGGTGTCAGAGATGTAGACCTATGGTTTAGTTAAGAAGGGGACACTTGCCATTCGAGGAAGCTGGCGAGCATCTGTTCAAAAATTGTAAACCAATGTGTAATGAAAGTCATGATCGGCCCTTCAAATTATACTAAATACACCATAACACGATGTTTTTGTTGTTGTTGTTGTTCTTTAGCTTCATATTTGCACGCCCTGATGTTATTTTCGAGTGACCATGTCCAGCTACATTTTTTTAATTTATGTTAAGTTGGACCCACTTTCATAAGTTTATGAACTGTAGATTCACTTTGTGAACATGAATAATATAATCCAGAGAAGATTCATAATTGTTAGTATGTGTTTAAGCAAAACGGATAACGATGTTAGATTCCTGAAACTGAAAAGGAAAGGAACATTTTAAGTGGCGTAAAACACATATGTAACAACGCTAACTGCGATGTATTTAAATCTTGATTTAATTTGATTGACCAGCACAAAGGATAATAATTTTGTATTAGAATTTTGGGAATCTGAAGTATAGTAAGGTAATCAAACAATATCCTCTATTACAAGGTTTTACTTTTGCAAATTAAAGTAATTCATAAATTATAACAGTTGCGATTACATTATCTGCTCTGTCAAAGCTGGGTATATTAAACTTGTTCATTTGCTTTATTCTAGTATGTCCAATCACAGAGGAAAGATTGCTGGACTCTTTATCTGTATTTTATTACTTGCATCAGGCTTCATTTCTTTGTATACCAGGTGTGTACCAAAAGTTAAAATACTTGTCTTTGAGATTTTAGCACCACAGATGATGTTTGTTTTTGTTCAATGATGTTTTTCAATTAACTGTTTTTTTTCTTTTACTAATTATTCTTTTTGTAGGCGTTTAAGAGCCTTTGCCTTTATCAAAGAACTGAATGTGCTAAGGGAATCAACACCAGCAACCACAAATGATTTGGATGACAAACTTAACTTTGGGTAAGAGAACTTCATATATATATATATATATCATGCTTGTTTGTGCGGAGCCTTCAGTTTGACACTACAACATGCTGTTTGCAAAAACCACTCACCACAGAGACAGTTTCCTATTCAGGTCCTTATTCTTTAATGAACCCAATGTACAAAAGTACTCGGTTCCTCTGTTGTAAAGTAAAAGAAACATTTTTGCATTGTCATATTATTTTTTTTTATACTTTATCTAACAATTGGCTGCAGATATATTTTAACATATTGTTCATTTATCTTTGTATTTTGTCTAAAATCTGTATGTTTATACTGAGGTTTATACACTGAAGCTTGAAAACCGAAGTCAGATTCCTTGTTTGTGCAAATAAACGTGGCCAATAAAACAATGCTGATTATAATTCAGATTGTGCATACACTGCGCTGTATACAAATGTCCATATTATCAGATATGTCATCAGATATATCAGTTGTCCCCAACCCATGGGCCGCGGACCGGAACCGGTCCATGGACCAATTGGTACCGGCTCGCGCAAGAAATAATTAAGTGTTTCCGTTTTATGCATTATTTGAGTCTGGAGGATCTTTTATTTTGAAAATCATTTTACCAGATTTTCTCGGTTACCTGCGCGCCAACACTGAGCCCACAAGCAGCAAAATGAGTAAGAAAAGGATCAGATGTCTTTGGAAAGTTTCTTAGCAAAGGGGAAAAGGCCTAGAGAAGAGACAGGAGGATGGATTTATCCCGGACCGGTAGGTGAGTCAAACATTACAAGCCGCTCTGTGTAACATGGCGACCGGCTGCTAATGAGGCAATGAAGCTTCAAACTGCTTCACCACTAGAGACCCAGCAGGCTGTGGATATAAGCAACACTTCGGGTGTCATTGTGTCTCATCACTCCCAGATGGGACCGTCTCGTTGCAGAGAAACAAGCTCAGGGCTCCCATTATTCTTTATCGTGAGTTAAAATGTTCACGAAAGTAAAACGTTCGTTTTTGTGGCCCATCTGTATTTATTTCGAAGGGATAAGTAAACATTACCATAGCGACCAGAGTCAGAGAGCGTTTGGGCAGTGGTCGAGATGAGATGAGTAAAGCTTGTGAGTCTTAAGTCTGGTTTAGACGCCAAGATTTAAGAATGTCGACCGATTCTCCAAACTTCTGTGACCACAGAGCTGATAAAAGTACAACAGGTTCAATCGGTTCATGTTCAGCCACAAGGCAGGAGCAACACACCACACGAACCGATTCCAGTCACGAACATCGCGATTCCAGAAGAAAATCCACAAAATCCCCAACATAGCGGGAATTTAGAATAACCAAACACGGATGACGATGTAGAAGCAATAGTGACAGTTTGTGGACTCATTTTAAGAGATAAAAGACGTAACAAAAAGAAAAGGCG